ACGAATGTAAAGAGGGTGTTCGGGTGTCCCTGAGGGGTGACGGGTGCCATTGGTGTGTCCACGATGCTGCAGCACCCGTGATGGCTCCCTGGCACCCCGGGCTGTCGCAGGGGCTCAGCTACAGGGGAAGCTCTTTCCTGGGGAAGGGGGTTATTGCCCACTGCCTGCAGATGGGTAAACTGGGAGCCTCAGAGGGCTGGTCTGAATTGCCTGGGGTTGTAGTCAGGGGCCATCAAGCTCTCCCCTTCTTGGCGTGGCACAGGCTGCTTTTGGAGGGGTTTTGCTGGCAGGGGAGCTGGTTTCTATGGTAAAAACCTTAACAGCATCTGCCAAAAATCTGTCTCCCTGTTGGCGCAGCCATCTGGAGGGCACAAGGAGGCTTTGGCTGGGCAAGGAGGTGGCTCCGGGCTGCTTTGGGTGTTCCTTCAGTGCTGCTGGCAGCTCGGAGAGGTCTCTCTGCCTGGTTATTTATGCCCCAGGCTCAGGTTTGCACTGGAGTGTAGGGGGGACCCCAGTGTGAGCGAGCCTGGTGGGGCACAGGCAGGCTGGGGGCAGGGGTGCCGTGTCCTGGCTGCTCAGGGAGAGAGGGCTGTGGACACAGGGCAGCAGGAGCGGCTGTAATCGGATGAGCCCACGCCGCTCCAGATGGACCTGTCAGCTCTTGTCAGTGCTGACACCCCCCTGGGTCCCACCACGGCCCCTGGGGCCAGGGGCCACCGCCTGTCCCACTCCACTGGGGCTGCTTGGAGCGGGGGGACCAGGAGGGGACACTGTGATGGCAAAGCCTGTCAAACAAGGTGCCTTCTACACTGCAGTCCCTCCCTGGAGAGCTCCATGGTTTTGTAAATTTAAGGGGAGAACCCTGGCATGTCTGTCTGTCTGTCTGTAGTGCCTGAGCTGTCCTGCACTGAGAGTGGTGGGGCCTGGCTGCTTTGCTGTCCCCAGGTGCCACCCCACCACCCTGGATGGTTTGCAGCTGCAAGGACAAAGCTGGCCACTCGGTGCCTTGCGTTGGTGTCCCCCTACTTCCGTGGAGCAGCAATCCTTCCTTGGGTGTTCAGCCAAGGAGAGGCATCTTGATGGCAGCAGTGGGCTCGACTGGGCTGGCAAGAGTCAAACCTGCTGGTCTGTGTCCCCAGAAGGGCAGCACAGGGCTCACTGTGTGCAGAGTGGGTCTGGGTTCTTGTGGGCAGAGCGTCCTGGTGCGTAGGATCCTGGGGTCCACCAGGAGAGGTTTTAGGGCTCAACTCCTAAAACTTTGCTTCTTTCTCCTTTCCCTCGCAGCCCACAACCCTCCCACAGGGCACAATCAACATGAACCAGTGCACAGATGTGGTGGACGGGGAGAGCCGCACGGGGCAGAAGTTCTCCCTGTGCATCCTGACGCCAGAGAAGGAGCACTTCATCCGGGCTGAGAACAAGGAGATCATCAGTGGGTGAGTGCAGGGCCAGGGCCCACCCACTCTGGGCCTCTCCCCTTAGCTGGGAGGAAGAGGAGGGTGGGTAGGGCCTTGCCCAGGGCCAGGTGCTGTGGCAGTGTGTACCCAGGCTGAACCCCAAGTGATGATGGCAGCCTGCTCAGGGCCAGGGCCCACCCACTCTGGGCCCCTCCCCTTAGCTGGGAGGAAGAGGAAGGTGGGTAGGACCTTGCCCAGGGCCAGGTGCTGTGGCAATGTGTACCCAGGCTGATCCCCAAGTGACGATGGCAGCCTGCAGCAGGGACAGTGCTGGGGCCAGGTGTAGCTGTAGCCTCATGGTCAGCTCTGGTCTTGTCCACCTTTTTGGCAAGGATAGGGTTTCTTCACCCTTCCCCACTCCCCTGCTAGGTACACCCTTACCGTGACCTGGTGCTCTGCAGCACAGCAGGGACCTGAGCACCCCCTAAGCCACCAGATTTATGGTGTGAACACAAGCACTGACTTCAGCAGAGGTCTGTGTGGCAGTGGATGGTTTAAGTCCTTCCTCCATGCATAGTGTGTGTGCTCAGCCATGCCAGGCTGGAGCCTGAGGCTTCCCAACATGCTGGACACTTCTCAGAGTCAGCCTCTCCTGGGAGCTTTGGCCAGGCCCTGGAGCTGAGCTGCTCCTAAGGCACTTGTGACTTCCAAAGGCCACCCTTTCCAAAGGCCACTCTTTCCAGGTCAGTTTTGTTGTCTCCCATTGGGCAATATCCTGCTCCCCACTGCAGAACAATGTTCCCTGAGGCTTTTAGTCCTGGGAGCAAGCTGAGGTACACTGGAGAGTTTGTGGGGTTCTCAGAGAGTGTGTCTGGTGCTGAGGTGCTCCTGAACTGGTTGTGACAGCTTCAGCCCCAGCAGAAAGCAGCTATTCACTGGCCAGAGGGAGAAGCTGGTGGCAGGGTGAACAAGAGGATGGGACCAGCAGGTCCAATGGTCCCAGGGCTGGTGGGTCCAACCCCACGTGCCAAACTCCCTCTGGTGCTTGTCCATCCCTGAACAGATGTGGTCTCCTGGGGCTGCCCACTCTGCATTTACCCCCTCCCCATTCAGACTCACCTTCTCAGCACCCACCTTGCTCCACTCTCTCCCTGTGGGCAGGCTGGCAGAGGGGGCAGATGCAGCTCACCCCCTGGTCCTGGAGCATCTGATCTCTGAGGACAATTAAAATATCATTGCCTGTAGGAACGCCCGTTGCTGGGATGCAGTTGCTCAGCAACGCTGAAGATTAGGCCACTAAAATGAGCAAATTGCTGTAGATTTCCCCACTCTGGGTGTTGGATGGTGACCTAGAAATATCCTTGTCCACCACTCCCATGCTAGCTTGGGTTGAAGCTGGCACTGGTGAGGGTGCAGAGCTGTGGGAGCCGAGTCACCAGCGTGCAGTGAGGGACTGCAACGCTGCTGGTGCTGCCAGATTTTCCCACGTGGGGTGTCTGGAGCTTGGTGACTCCCTCCCAGAATCTGTTGATACTTGAAAGTAGAGCAGGATGTTGAAGGGATGAAGCACTCGCTCCTTCCTGCTCTTCCCCAGGCATGGCCTCTTCTGCTGGCCTGAGCCCTGGCAGCAACAGAGTCACAAAATCACAGAACTAGCAGGATGTTGAAGGGATGAAGCACTTGCTCCTTCCTGCACTTCCCCAGGCACGGCCTCTCCTGCTTGCCTGAGCCCTGGCAGCAGCAGAGTCACAAAATCACAGAATTGCAGACTAGTAGGGCTTGGAGGGGACCTCTGGAGATCATCTTGTCCAGACCCCCCCTGCTCCAGCAGCTCACCCACAGCAGGGTGCCCAGGATCACAGCCAGGTGGGTTTGGAATCTTTCCAGAGCAGGAGACTCCACAGCATCTCTGGGCAGCTGCTCCAGGCTCAGGCACCCTCATGAGAAGGAAGTTTTTCCTCATGTCAGTGCTTTCTGTTGAGATGATTTCTATGTGTGGACTTCAGTCCACTTTCTATGGGTGGAGTTCTATGGGTGATGGTTGGACTTTGATGATCTTGGAGGCCTTTTCCAACCTTAGAGATTCTATTACTCCCTTTCCAAGCATTTTCTTTGGTTGTTTCTCCCTCCATTTTGGGAAATACTGGTTGAAATAGTCAATTTATTTTTTTTTTACCAAGAACTTAGGATTTTGATCAGAGAGATGTTTTCATGAATTGAAACTTCCCTGCTTTACTGAGACACATGAGCATGGGTGATGCCCCCTCCATGCACTGCTGTGACCCAGCAGACCTCTCCTTCGATGGCACCGTTTGGCACTTCAGTGGGGCCCCCTGTTTGCAGCAGTGGGGCTGCAGCAGCTGTGGAACCAGGGTGCAGAGGCACGGGGCAGTCACAGAGGAGCCAGCTCCTCTCCTCCAGCCAAGGCAGGAGCAATGGCTGTGCCCCAAAACACGGCCCTGCTCTCTTCTCCCTCTCCCCACGCTCCGGTGCGCGGCTCAGCCTTTCGCTGCTGGCCCTGCCCACCAGGCAGGAGGGAGAGGCATTGCAGAGCAAGGTGGGGCTGATTTATTGCTCACTGGCCCGGCGCTGGCTGTTGAAGCAGCGCGTTTGCTCCTGACTGCAAGCATTAATCATCCCAAAACAGCCCCGCTCTGGGTGCGAGCCAGGCGCGTTCCGTTTGCAGTTGCAGCCTGACAGGAAGATTTCCCTGGCTGGGGGAGAACTCGTTTTACGTTCGTTGCATGTTTCTGGCATTTATTGCCTAACCAAAACCTGCTTGATGTGGTCATCTCCAAACGCTTCACAGCAGCAGCGTGTGAAGTGGGGGCAGCAGGAGAGGGAAGCAGGGACATCGGAGCTTTCCCAGCGGTCCACGGATCCCTGTGGAGTTCACAGAGACTCAGGGGCAGGTCACGAGGCTGCAGTAGGCACAGGGACAGTAGGGACACAGGACAGTCCCCCAAACAAGTCACTTGGCATTGAGGAGTTCATCCCCTGCACAAGTTCACGCTGCTCTTTCTTGGACAAAAGCTCTTTGTGTGCAGCGTGTGAGCGTTGGCACTGCTGGAGGGGGAAGGTCCTGCTGGAGGCTCTGTCCCTCTCAGCTGTCTTTCAGGATCCTCAAATCCCTGTCCCATGTCAGCTTGGGCTGTGGTCTCATTCACAGCAAGTGGGATTTGAGCCAAAGCACCCTGGGGTCATCCCTCCTCCCCTCCTGTCCTGCCTCATTTTTCCCCAGGAGCTGGTTGGGATGGTTTCTGGGGGTTATTTCCCACACTGACCCTGATCAGGCTGGAGAAGCTGAGCTCCTCTTTGTGCCTGCATCCAGCTCAAGGTTGTGCTTCTGGCCAAATGACAAACACCAAAAAGCTGGGGTTAGAGGTGTGAGTAGTGGGTGCTCCATCTCTGGAGCTTGCAGGCAGCCTGTCCAAGGGCTGGGATAGGGTGGAAGGTGGGATGGGGCAGTGTCTCCATGGGCACTGTGGTCAGAGCCACTCTTGGAGGGGAGCAGCTTTGGGGTCTGCAGCCTGGGGGAAGCTGTGTTACACCCCGTGGTGGAGTGGGACCATCACTCCTGTCCCTGCCTTTCAGCACAGACCTCACCTTTCCCTTTCTGTGCCTGCAGGTGGCTGGAGATGCTGATAGTCTATCCGAGGACAAACAAGCAGAATCAGAAGAAGAAGAGGAAGGTAGAGCCCCCAACTCCCCAGGTAACCCCAGGAGGACACACACTGTCACCCAGTCCCCTGTCTCCCCCTCGAGGCTGTGCCACTGCTCTGCTCCTGGGGAAGATCCCCCAAAACTGGCCAGACCTGTGGTCTGCCAGCCCTCCGATGCTGCCTGCGTGGAGGGCGAGAGCTGGGGCAAGCCAGGGCAGCAGGGTGAATTAATTCCTGCTCATCACTTCCCAGTGTCACTCCTGCTGCTTTCCTGGCTGCTCTGGGGCCACGTTCCATCCCCTGAGCTCTGTCTCGTGGCTCCAGCCCTGCACACACTGTCCCAAGAGTGGCCGTGAAGCTGCGTGCTCCCCGCTGGGGACCAGGGAGAGGTGCTGGCCATTCCTGGGCCCTTTCACCAGAAACAGGATGAAATTCCATCGGGCTCCAGTTACCCCCTTTGAGATGACCCCAGAGATAGCGGGAATGAAAGGAAAATACTAAAGGCCAGGGCCAAGCTGGGAGCTCCAGGGGCCGGAGCCGGGCTCTCCAGGGACCCGGCGGTGACTTCGTGCTCACTTTGACTATAAATGGTAAAAAGCAGGGCTGGCCGTGACTCACTCGTTCCTGCTGGGCTCCCACGTGGCCAGAGTGGGGGAGAATCCCACAGATGGGGACTGTGACCCCGAGGCCACCCTGGTCCCTGCCCGGGGCTGAGAACAGCCATGTCTGTGAGGCTGCCCGACCTCTGGGCGCGTGTCCCACCGCCGCGGGGCACCAGCTGGGAGGGCTCCTCAGGCAAAGCCAGGCTGCTGTTGGCTGACTGAAAACAGCTTCGGGGCTCCCCTGAGCCCCAGTTTTCAGGTTCCCTTTGATGAAGTCCCTCGGATGGCCCTGGTGCAATCTGGGCCACGGGTGGGTTTTTATGGTGTTTCTTTGAATCAAGTTTCTAACACTTCACTGGATAAAGATGTTCTGAGCAATGGGGGGAAAAAAATTGAAGGGAAGATGATCCTTTTTTGCATGCCAAGCTTGAAGTCTGGGCCACTGCCTTTCAAGGACTGGGGTCCTCACAGCCCCTCAGCTGCTGGCTCCAGTGATGCTCCAGGAAAGATTCCTTCTCCCTCTGTGGCCGAGAGCTGGTGTGTTACAAGTTGCCCGTCCTGAAGCCCCAGGGAGGGGTCTGCTGCATTTGGGGCAGCCCAGTGAGCTGATGGAGCAGGGCAGGGATGCTCACCCCTTCCCTGGTGCAACATGAAACCCAGGCTGAGTTCAGGAGAGGGCCAGGGCAGAGAGGAGAAGGGGCGCAGAGCCAGAAAAACATCATTCTGGGTTACATTTCATCACCATGGCAACCTCTTGGAAACCGTACAGGATCCGAGCTCCTGAGCACCAAATAAGGGAAGCTGCTGTGGGAAGGATGCTGGCTCCCCGCGGGTGGAGGGCTCCCCAGGTGCTTGGGGATGGGGTGAGCAGGGAGCCTGGTGGCATTTTCCCCCCCATCCTGCTTGCTGCCCCACTTCCACCCTCTCCATCCCATGGCTTCCAGCCCCACAGTGCCTGGAAAAGACTCAGATTCACTTTTCCAAAACCAGCCTCTGCATGGGACCCACCACCACCAGATGGATGCTGTGCTGTTAGGTGCTCACAAGCAACCTGCAAAGGCAGAAGGAAGATGTAAGAACCATCTTTCTGGCATCTTCCAAATTGTGCTGATGCAAAGCAGCCAGTCTGGGGAAGGAGAGAGGATGCTGGGGAGAAAATCAGCACCAAATCCCCCCTCTGTGAAATGGCTTCTGCTGAAGTTGGCTGCTGTTCAGCTCCCTGTGCTGATTTCTTTCTAAAGAGAGCTGCCTGCTAATCTGGCAGCAGATCATGTCTGAGAGCCGCCTGGGGAGGGATGGACACCTTTGTGATTGGAAAAAAAAGGTAGAAAAGAAGGAATAGGAATACTTCTGCTTTCTCTCACTCCCATGTTGTTTTGCCTTGTCTGTGCTACAGTAGAGCTTGGCTGCAGTCAGGTGCTCCTGGGGCATCAGGGCCATTTTTGGCTCCCCAAATCATTTTGCATCTTCCCTGTACAAAATCACCAGGGTGGGAGCAATGCAGGTGAAGCTGGAAATATCACCCCAGCTACAGATTTTTGGACAGGAGTTGTCAGCTGCAACCCTAGAGGTGTTTTCACCTTTACTTTGCAAGCAGGTTGTGCTCTGAGGGATTAAAAAGAGCAAGTTTCTCTTGCTGCTTTTGCCATGCTTTGGCAAAGCGGTGCAGGCAGTGGGAGAGACTGGGCTGGCTGCCTTCACTTGCCTGCTGTCCCTGGGAAATCAAGGCAGGATTTGGGGCTGAAATCTGGGATTTGAGGCTCTGCCTTCTGTTGCAGGGCAGGTTTGCTCAGGGGCGTGGCAGGCTCGGGTGCACAGAGCGTGCCCAGACACACTTCATGCAGCTGGAGGCTGGTTCTGCTCCTTTTTGGAGCTGTTCAAACCACTGAACAGCAAAGAGTTAATTTCTCTGTATGCTTATAGATCACTTTTTGGCACTCATATCTCTGCCTGATTAAATACGTATCTACAAATAATTGTATGGGGTTGGGTGTAATGGATATATAAAAATATATATCCTGAGCTGGCAATTAGCTTTGGGCTTTCAGATCAGTGAATGAGAGAGTGGATGAGGGTGGAGGGGGCCTTGGAGATCATCTGGTCAACCCTGTGTTCAAGCAGTGTCCCCTCGAGCAGGATGCCCATGAACTCTGGATCGTTTACCTCCAACACTGCATTCTTTTAGAGTGAAATTTCCAAGGGGATTTTTTGAAGAATTGAGGTCATTTGCTGCTTGTTGTGGCTGTGCACAGAGCCAGGACACGCTCCCTGGGAGATCCCTGGTGGGGATCCGGTGGGGATCTGCTGCTGCCTGCAGACACTGATTTGGAGGTGCAGGGCTAAAACCCACTGGTGGCTTTGCTCACGTGGAAGTGGGGCAGAGAAGATGCTCTCTGCAGCCTGTGTCCCCAGCCCATGGCTGCCAACCTGAGTGCTCCTGGATTCCCCCTGCTCCACGGAAAGGGAACAAGCAGCTGGGAAAGTTCCCACAATCCGGCGACGTTGGAGGAGGGTTAATTGTCATTGATTTATTGTTGGCTTTAAGGAAAATAATCTGCTAATGCAGAAGCTTAATACGACATCAGCAAAACATCTGCTAATGAACCAAGCCAGACCCTAAAGGAGCTGTGAAAGCTGCTGCCTCTTCTGGGGTGCACACCGAACCTGGGCTGCCCAGCTGTGGCCACCACGATGGCATCATCATCCCAGGGACTAGGAGCCCTTTGTTAGCTAGAGAAGCACTTAAGGTGATGGGTTTTGGTTTAAAATAGCATAAAGCTCAATGTGATGTTGTATTTTCCTTTTAAAACAAGGAGAAGCTCTGGGAGGAGTCCAGCACCAGTTGGGTTTTATTCTTTTTCTCAGTGGCCCGTAGCAAACCTGCTGTGACAAGCAAACAACACGGCTGCTGGTGGCAGGGAATTAATTTTCTCCTCCATCCTATGTCCTCTAGTTTGATTTCTTTGGGTTTTTTTTGCTGTTAGTTATAATAGTAAGAAAATTCAGTCCCAGCAAATGGGACCCAGGATAGAAGCCTGATGTTGGTCTGTCTCTGTGAAAGGCAGTGGCTGCCCATGAGGCAGCCCACAGATGGACCAGGGACATGCAGAAGGACCAGGGATGTGCAGGAGGATTAGGGACATGCAGAGGGAAAGGGGGGATGCTGGAGGGATTTAAAAGACACAGAGGGATTTAAAAGACATGGAGGGATTTAAAAGCTGTGGAGAGGTGGTGCTGAGGGATATGGGTTACTGGTGACCTGGCAGTGCTGGGTTAACGGTTGGACTTGATGATCTGAAAGGTCACTTCCAAACTGGACTCTGTGGAGCTGTGTGGGACCCTGCATGCTGAGGCAGAGCCAGGGCTTTGCTCCACTTGGGGCTGGGCTGCACGAGCAGGAGATGGACTTTTCCTGAGGAGTTAGGTGTTGGTGGCTGCAGCATCCTGCACGCTGCACCAGGACAGGCAGCTCCTATCCAAAAATGAAGCCAGCATGCCCCTCACCATGACAGTGCCCAGCCGAAGGTCTCCTTCATTTGTCATCTCCCCTTTGCTCTGGCTCTGTTCCCAGCTGGATGGGTGGGGAGGTGTGGCTGGTTTCAGGAGCCCTCCCTGGGAAGGGGTGGTGAGGGACTTTTGTGATGACAGTCCCTTTGGCAGAGCAAGTCCTGACCCGTTGCCCTGCTGTGCTGCCCTGGGGCAGGGTTTCCACCCGCCAGCTTGTCTCCTTGTGGATGGGATGGTGGCACATGGCTGAGCAGCCTCATCCCTGTCTCATTCCTGCCATGGCATGTGTCACAGCACCCACGCCGTGTGGGACCCACGCCCCTAGGGACAGCCCCTGGGTGAGCAGCTGGGGCAAACACCTCTAACCCTGCTGTCTCCTCTGTTCTCCTTAGGAGCCTGGTCCTGCTAAGATGGCTGTGACCAGCAGCAACATCCCCAGTGCAGAGAAGGTCCCTGCCACCAAGTCCACGCTTTGGCAGGAAGAAATGAGGGGCAAAGACCAAGCGGATGGGGGCAGCAGCATCAGCCTGGCACAGAACTCAGTGCAAGGCCAGGCCGGGGCTGCCAGCTCCCTGAAGGACCCTGTGCTGGACAGCAAGGAAGGTGAGGAATGCAGGTGCCAGCATTGGTGGGACACTGCCTGGTTCAGGCAGCTGAGCTGGCAGAAAACCACCACAGAGGGAACAGTTTTCCATGGGTTTGGTTCCTGGAGCATCCCAGGAAGGAGGGGGAGGCAGACCTCATCCCAGCTGTATGGGGACCAGAGTGAGGCATTATGGGCTGGAATTCAGGAAGAAAAAATCTGCATCACATGCTAGAAAATCACAGCGTGGTGCCCAGTCCTACCTCGACAGGGAGATGGGGCTGCCTGCCCTTGCGCTGGGGGCAAAAAATGGGGCAAAGTGCCTTTTTTAGCCCCTCCACATCCCTGCCTGGGGCACCTGGAGAGCACAGGGCCACGGCTGCCAGGGCTGCCAAGCCCCGAGTGCTGCTTCCTCCTCTGGCCCCTGCCTCAAGGCCCTGTTTACATTCAGTCTCCTCCATGAGTCCCTGGAAGGCGCCGAGGCCGCAGCATTGTTCTCCCTGGAACAATAGGGGCTGGGGACTCTTCCTGCCAGGCCCCTGGACAGGTCCCATGTGCTGCAGCCATTTCCTTTATCTGCCTGCTGGGCTGGGGAATGCTTTCTGCCTGCTCCAGGCTGCCAGGAGCAAGGTGTCCATCACCTGGCACCCATGGACCTGTGGTCGATGCTGGGCTGGGAAGGACAGGGATGGAAATGGGTGCAGAGCAGTGACTGCAGCCATCTGTTTATTGGTTGGAAGGTTTTGGTCTTTCGTCTGTGCAAGCCCCACCCAAGGGTTGGCCCAGCATCCCCAGTTCCCTGCACGCTGTCCTGCCATCTCCATGGGCACAAAGGGTGGCCGTGGTGGAGAAGCCAAAGGTGCAAGAGGTGGCACAGCATGGGGCTGGGACCAGACCATCTGCTCTCATTTCCTGCCCGTGTCCTAGGGGGAATCAGGGTGGGTTTTGTTAAAAGCAGAACTTGGACTTGAAACCAAGCAGGGTGACTTCTACACTCCTTAGATGAGAGCTCCATGAACGGAGACCGGATAGACTGTGGGCGGAAGGCGCGTGTCGAGAGCGGGTACTTTTCCTTGGAGAAGACCAAGCAAGACTCGAAGCTGGAAGAGCAGCAGCTGCCGCCCCCACCGAGCCCACCCAGCCCCAGCACCCCCAACAACAGGTACAGTTATCCCAAATCGCCCTCGCAGGAGCATGCCCAGCCCTTTCCTTCCCCAGGTACCCGATCAGGCGACCGAATGATTCACAGCTTCTCTCTGAACTCCTTGGACTCGAAGAGCAGTTGCCCCATGCACAAGGACTCCGGCGGCAGAGATGTAGGAAGGGGAGCTGAAAAATCGGGGCGTCCCCTTTCTTTTAAAGCCAGCCGGCAGTACACCACCCTGGCCGACGTTCCCAAGGCCATTAGGATCAGTAATCGTGAGGCCTTCCAGGTGGAGAGGAAGCGGCTAGAGCGGAGAACCCGGGCCCGTAGCCCAGGGAGAGAAGAAGTGGCCCGGCTCTTTGGCCATGAGAGAAGGTAAGGGACGGGTGGCTGATCTCCTTGCATGCTTGCCACAGCCCTGGACAGAGCAGGCGGCGTGCGCCGGGTGTAGCCCCTTTATATGACAGTGCTCCTGGGCTTAAGGACGCCCATCCACACTGACCGGGCGTTGCAAGTCCTTCGTAGTGCCAGCAGGCAGGTGCCACCCTGCCTGGCCGCCCTGGGGACAGCAGGTCCAAGTGGGTGACGTTGGGTGGCCGTGT